AATTACCTGTACAAATTCCTGATCTGAGGCGCGACACTTTACTATCACTTCGGATTCCAATAACTGTAGAAGACCCTGAAAACAAAAGAAATAATCGTAGATGAACGACAGACTAGGTTCAATCGTAGACGTAAAACCTAGCAACTTGCCCAACATGTTAGTAAATTACTGCATCAAAGAAACATGAAAAACGCAATTGACCTAACATTTTAAGAGGTGCAGTACAGTACGTCTCATGTAACCCAGTGCTGCAATATTTCTCCAGCTTATCTCATCTTTTTACTACATACTATCGTGTAGTGAACAGCAGACGAGGCGCACCCCATATTCACGAAAACCTGCCGTTCAGTAATGGTAACCGGCAACGTAAGTCCTGGGACTTTGAGTGTCGAACCACGTAAGGTCCCGCTAGGTCAGTCGCGATATTGAACCGGACGACAGCAAAGCTGCCCATCCCCAAAGTTGGGTGGCGGGGCTCAAACCTCGGACTATATGGTCCAAAGCACGCCGGTGACGGCGACTAATGCGGGATCCAGCTGTTGTAAGCCTCTTCTTTCTTGGTTGGGGCTGTATTTTAAGTGGTCTGAAGGTACGCAATTGACGAAGAGAATGCCCAACGTACTGCTCATTAAACCTCGGCATTTTCATTTTAGGAGCACTGTCAGACGGGGAGTGACGAAAAACTTCTGCCTTGTAGACCAAATACATTTTGCAGCAAGCACCTTTTTCTTGCCAACGTGTCAGTATTGAGTCTGTTTTCCACCATCGCAGGAACATTGAATGTCGTATTAGTCCGCCTTCGGAAGTATGGAAATCGCTTCAGGGTGCCTATATGCAACCTTTACCACTAGCTTCATATAGTCCAACAGCAGGGGCATGGCGTAGCACCGCCGTACTCATCTCTCAGTCAGATGTGTGGGAGGCGGTAAAACAATCGGAAGGTAATAACCGTTTTCCGAAATAAAGATTTACTTATGTCTCGAAAGTCTCTATGCCCTGATGAAGGCGTTACCACAGATCTTCATTGAGAACCTCAACAAAAATCCTAGGGCCCTTTAGCCCGAAGTTCTGCACCATTCTTTTCCTTGGAAATTTTAGTTCACCTTCGAATCGGTATGCATCATGTGCATGGAAGCACAGTTGGCATTATTTACAGGAAATGACTAGTTGAGCGCTCAATAATCCAGCGCGTTCAGGTTCCCCTGTATCATACAGCATTCATGACCCCGAATTGCCGTCGGAATACCTTCAAGATGAGCAAAGCAGAAGTTTTGGTGTCGTTGGCATGAACTAGAAACAGTAGCAGACAAATGACGACTTTGGGGTACTCCACTGCTGGCAAGATGCCAGGTATATATCACGTAGACAAACCAGAAAATGAATTTCTTGGCAGGGAGTGAGTTTTATAGCTATCAATGAAATTCTCAAATGGAAAAATTGAGATTTTTATTATAAATAAACGGTCAATGTGTAATTACCTGTGTGATAAGTCCCTTTAGGCAAGACTCATAGCGTTGTCTATTTTTCGATAGTTCCGCAAGACGTTGTTTGGCTTCGTCCAATAACATCTGCTAATGAGTTGGATCAAGAGAACATCAAACCTGGATGTGATTTTCTCTGCTTTGTAAAACCTTTAGACGAGATAAGTTTTTCAAATTCGAATCTTGTCTGGAAAGTAACGGTTATATACGAGTTTGAAACAGACATTTTCTTTGTCAATTCAATTTGCTTTTCTTTCCTCGAATAATATTCCATGATCTTCAGACGTTGATTTTGAACCAGTCTTGATTTTTCTATTTGAAACTCCTCCTCAGCCTGGGACAGTCAACTTCGAGCAAAACAATACCTCACCTTCGCATCAATTTCCTCGACCTTTTCACGGGCTTCTTGATCTATGAATGCCATCATATGGCGAATCTTAAAGGAAATAACCAGAATTTAACTTTTATACCTGTCTTTGAACCTCCGTGTCGTTAAGAGCCATTGTTAATAACAGAAACCGACGTCTATGGTGCCTGTGAAGTAGCGCAAAGTGTGTAAAACCCGCCAGATCAGATCAGTTCAGTTCAGTTCAGTTCAGTTCAGTTCAGTTGCACAGGACGAATATGGCTCTTG